TTTTTTTTTTTTTCTTTATAATAAATATTTATAATGTGCTGTACAAAATCCCAGTGCTTTTCAGCCCTTTATGGCTCAGGTGATGGAGAGGAGGTGCCAGTCATTTGGGGGTCTCCCGACCTGGGGAGACCTCTCGTTGGCTCTCCAGACCACTGACCAGTCTTTGAATGTTCTGAAGCTCGTTTATGGAATCCTTCATAGAGGTCTTTGGGGACAGAGAGCTAGAGTGGGACCTCTTGTGGACAGGAGTGTCTGGGATGGGGCTGGATTCTCGGCTGCTGCCAGGCTTGGAGCTCTCAGATCCCGGGTTGAGGCTTGATGGCAATCCAGTGGTTAAAAGGTTAGTGCTGGGGGGGATGCCCACAGGCATCTGGTATGGGCTGAAGCGTAGGCGAGGACGAGTACTGCTGAGAAAAGGGTTCCTTGGCATAGTGGTACTGGCAGCGCTGGTCGCTGGCATCGCCGACGCTGCTGCTGCTGCAGCCGCCATGTAGGTGTACGGGTAGGGGAAGAGCCCTCCAAAAGTGGGCATCGGGATTCCCTGCAAGAGATAAGGCAGCCTTTAATACACTAGACACTGCACACGGACCACAATTGGCCATTTCATATGGCATCGCACAGTAATGGGTTAATGCTCCCTGACTGCAGATTTACATTAAAGTGCAGGAAGTTATCAGGAAGCCTTTCAATCGGAAACCTTGTCCCTCCATGGCAGAAAAAAAGGCAATTTGAAATGCAGTATATGTACCATGTATAGACATAGCTGAGGCTAGCTGAGCACACCAAAGTCAAATGTAACAGACTGTAAGCAGTAACAGTAAGGAACAATTCTGGTCTGGCTTATGCTACTATTATGGGTTATATAATTACAGAATAATAGTAATAGTTTGTAATAATAATAATTATTATTATTATTATTATTGATGTTGTTATTATTATTATTATTATTATTATTAATACTATTATTATTAAAACAATAATAAATACTATTATAAAAATAATAATAAATAATAATAATAACAGTTTCTGTTGACATGCATACTCTACACGAAGCAATAAATCTCTAAAACAAATGTTTAAAACAGATCTTGATTCCTAACTTAGGTAGTTTAAAATCAGGGTATAATATTATACAAACAATACAGTGTAATGCAACTCATTGATCGATATAGGTCTCTCCTTATAGAAGCCACTGATTAGGACCAAGCAAAGCATCTGCAGAATCAACAGCCCGATTAGCCTTGCAGAGAAACGAAACATCAATGAGACCACCAGATCCACCACTGAGAAGCTTCATCAGGTTCATTAAGATAGAGAGTAAAATGGTTACACAACCCCCTTCTTTGCCAAAGACTTCAGCTGAACAATATTTCTAGTTTACTGTCAGAGGGTTATATGGGGCCAGAAAATTACATTTCTTACCTTGCCTGTGACCAAGTCAAAGAAATTGAATTTTGAGGTTCTAATTTCCCTTGCCTTTATTTAAAAAATGTATTTAAAAAATACTAGAAACTGATGCTGTTCCAGCCAACCTGGTCATCATATATTTGCTTCATAAACGATCCCCCCAAATGTTCCCACAGGTGATGGAGCTTACCTGAGAGGCCAGCATGTGCTGAGATAGGTGGAAGGGGAAGGGAGTAGCTGCACCAGCTGTTCCTTGCATTGAAGCGAGACCTCCATTATCCAGGCCGCTTGCTCCTGTCATAGAGGCCAACAAATGTCCCATACCCATGGCTGAGAAAGCCCCAGGTGCCATGGCAAATTGTCCTGGGTGGATGAACAAGGGCTGTCCAGCATTCAAGGGGTTAAAGAACTGCTGCCCGTGGAAGCCAGACAATGCTAAACTCTGCAGATGACTTGCACTCAAGTGTGGTGGGCTTTCTGTCTGTACCATGAGTGGGGAGAAGGTCTCTTTACTCAAACCTCCACATTCTTGGTCAGTTTTCGTGTCCTCTTTCCTCCTGTTCTCCAGTTTCTCCTTCTCTAAACTCCTGGCACTGAATATGCTGTCACTGTCCTTGCGGCCTTCAGGTGTCTCGGTCTTCTTGTCAGGTGTGGCTTTCTCTTTGCCCCTGTCCTCTAGTCTGGGGCTGTTAGGGCTAGATATAGGTCCTCCAGGACTGCTGTGACCTCTGGCAGTCCTCACTTCACGACGTTCTAATTCTTGGTCGCTGTCTGCGCTGTATTTCTCATCTAGAAAGCAAATGTCAAAGGTCAGGCTCTGCACCCAGTACATAATATATAATGAAGCTTGATGGAATTGTCCACCGTCCATTCAGTGACAGATACAAGCTGGAGTTTACCATGGCTGTCAGAAGCAATGACTCTATGACAATGATTTTTTCATTGCCAAGGAACATTATAAAAACACTATACACTGCACACATTTTCCTTTGCTTCAAGTATCCTGGCATTCGGTATGCCTGATGTAATGAACATTTGTCCTAGTGGGCTGTGTCATTGTTAATTGTGAGAAAAATTACAATACCCATATAAAACTGAATATGGAAAGTATAGATAACATTTTTAAAAAGGTACTGGGTGTATCTAATCCATCTGAAAGGTGTATAGCAGCCACTCTTGCTTTCTTCCCTTAGCTTTCAGCACGTTTCTAAATCCTTTATTTATGGGTAAAGGATGGGTTTATTTTCCAAAGGGTCAGAAGAAATAATAGAATGCAGATTATTTAGTGTTAACTACCAGATGTTCCTAGGGTTGAGCAAATATTTTAGATACTGTGCCCAGCAAAATATTATCTGTACCTATGTCCTTATAGCAGTGCTACTTGTAAGTCACCTGCTCAGCCAAAAAAAAAAATTATGGACAACCTTTACAGAAAGTTTAAAAAAATGTCCATAGGTATGATACGAATCACTCACTCCAATAAATCAAAATGGTGCTTTAACATTCATTAATTTAAATGTAAAGGAGTTGAGGGACAAACATAATTTGGGTGGTCTACTTGAAACATTTGTATCATAAGGATTTATTGTATTATTTAAAGGGGAAAAAATGGCTTAGATATTTCTGCATCAAGCTTTGTACAGTATGTACAAAGTGCATCACTACAAAAAAGGCACTTTTAATTTTCTAGAAAGTTAAAAGTATTCTATATCTTATATCATGCGTTCATATAAATAGCAGATACATTCAGGAATAAAGAAATGTACACATATGTCATATCTCGTGCATACAACAGTTATTATATATATACATACATACATATTTTTATTTTTTTACTTTCCCTGCATGATTAATTATGGGTAGAGACACAGGTATACAGAATGGTACCCCTTAGTAAATCAACTCCCAATGTGTTTTTAATAAATGTCTGAACAAACGCCTAATAAAGGAGTGCTCCTCAACCTTAACATCAAAAGGCTAATCTACTATAGGAACGATATTCACCATAGTCTGTGTTCATTTCAAGTACTCAGATATTGCATTTTTATATTTTCCTGATCTTGATTAGGTATTTAAAGTTAGGCCATTGTGTACCTATTTTGTAACACTAAATTATCCATGTCAATAACCCCTAAATGTGTTTAAGCATAAGCAAATGATTATATTGTTTGATAAATCTAAAATAGACAATCATGACTGAATTTGATAAAACATCAGGCTCAGGTAAGAGAAGTACCCCTGGAGTGCCATGCACTGATCCTAATCCATTGTGGAGGGTTGCAGATGTAGCTTTCCTGTGCTGGTCACAAGCTACAACCAGATCTGGAAATGTGACTTCTTTGTTAATATAGTGATCTAGCAGATTCATTTATCCATGTCTGGCTTTATAATAACATACTGTATGTAATGTTAATGTCTAAATCATAACACATTTCCACTGTGTATTAAGGTGATGCCAGCATTCCTACATTGCTGGAGCCTGCTCTGTACTGAGTGCAATAAACAATAATAGCAACAACTGCGGGCTTAAGTGGTAGAATAATAAGAACAGTATTAATAATTGAATTGACTGTGGTGTAATAAAGAAACCATATAGTAGACACAGGGAAGGTGAAGGCTAGCGGCTAAGTAGTGTTACTACTGATTGTATGTAGAAGAGGCAAATTACCTCTATTACTGCGGCTGAGTCTCAGAGGACTGGGCTCAGTACTCAGAGGGGAGTGCAAAGTGTCCCTGCCTGGGGCAGGATCGCAAGAAGAGGCGTCTGAATCTGCCCCATCCCTGTCTGGCTTGCACTGTTCTTCATACATCCTCAGGGATGGGAGAGTCAGCTGTTTCCTGATTGGGGAAACATAGAAGACAAGGCATTAGGCACCCATACACTGATTAGGACATATGACAGGCTTTACAATTTAAAGGCATTTACATGTATATCCAAATACAAATGAAAAGACAAAAACTGCATGCAAACTCAACACTTATTTTTTTTTTATAATAGCACAAAAAGCATACTAACCTTTTCTCTCGTCTTCCATTACCCGTATCTCGAAATCCTTTAGCAAAAGGATTGTTATCGATTTTCAGTTGTGTGATCTGTGGCAACAAATAACATATATACGAGTAAGATACTGAATTAAAACAAGAAATTAGAGTCAATTGTCTGTCAACGTAGCCATGAAGCCATGGACAGTATCAGGTCTAATACAGTACTAAAAGGGTTAATTGTTATAAGCACTGGTTGGCCTCCATCTGCTGTGGACTAGAGGCGCATCTGCACAGTCACAACAGGTTTTGTTTCACGGTGTATTGGCAAAGTGCAATGATGTCCTGTAACCCACAGCAACCCATCAAATGTCACCTGCTAATTGTAACGGTACTGTTCCGTTGCTCTGGGTTACAGCACATCCAAACTGCAATGGGTAAATGTCTAAAGTTGCTGGTTTACTCGTTTCACATAACATGTGAGTAAGCACACAGACAGTTACAGCGCCTTGGACATGCCGCTGAGAGGGTTAATATACATTTTGCATTCCAAACATTTTTCTGTAAATAAAAGTGTTCTAGCCTCTAATCCCCACACAGTTCACCAAGTGAGCAGGGCCGTGCCCTACCTAGTGTAGGTTCCCTTTCAAACAGTTTAAAACACACAGCCTCCCTGGTTTAACACACCACATGCTTTATTAAAAATGATGCTGAGGTTTGGCTTGAATTATTAATAGAGTTTTAATGATAGCAAGTTATTTTTCAGAGCCCCCTGGAGGAAAGATGGCGACTACACATTGCAGCCCTGGTTAAAAGCTATTCTTATCTCTCACATAAGACTGACTTATGGTGCAGGCGACATTAGGGCAATCAATTATTCATACTTTTGAAATATGTCCCCCTCAGATGCCATCTTTAAAAATGCATGTCTGATCTCCTTTATGGTATATTTGCTCAAACAAATTGATTTTCTTTTTTGTATTTCCACTAATAATATGTGTTAGGCCTTGTGTTAAACATAAGAGACTATGGGGGAAAAATGGAGTCCATCAAAAACGTAATATTTGGTCTATAGCTTCTGATGAATAGACAAATATTGAAATCAGAACAATGTTTTCCTCATAGGGGCTGAGCGCAACATGGTTTAAAGGAACTGAGTCAGCATTAAGATTTTTAATAAGGAGCCCAGACTGCTACAAGATGCATAGCAGTGCTGATCAGCTTTGTCCAGCTTGGGACTGAGCAGCAAACCTAAAGTGCTCTTTAATCGATCGTGACTCTGCGCCATAAAGTTTACGATTGGAACAAGCCCACCAGGACCCTCCGACAGATCTGTCAATTAGCCTCAGCAGCAAGGGGTAAAGGTGTGCCCGGGGTTTTGTGGACGCGGCGTATGCGTGTAAATGTGTGTGGCTGCTGATCAGCCTTTTCATTCAACGTCAGCCATAGGAACATAACATGGGGAGCCAAACTAAACAATTCAAGCTAATTACACATGCACAGGACAGGCCTTATGCTATAACTGAGAGGAGAACATGGATTAGGATGCCTGGAAATTACAGCAAACCAACACACAAAGCGTGAAAGCCACATAAAACAAAACCACAACGTATTAATTAGGCCAATAATCCCCTTCCAACATTCCATAAAAACATGTACTTTATGAATTCACAATAAAGGCATGTTAACAAAATACCACTGACTCGAGGTTCACATATATTTTTTTAATACTGAGACATAAATTTTAATTAAAAGAAACAAGCCTATTAATGGTATGCTGCTATGGTATAGGAGCAGGCAGGTGCACTATAGAAACATCTCATTGTACACAATCCTACACCACAGTCTTTTTCTTACCTTATCATTCTGATAAGCAGTCACTGCAATAAAATCAGTCTCTGGGAACACATAGGTCCTGAAAGTGCTATAGGGAAGTTTCAGAATGTCATTGGCTCTCACAATATGAAACCTGGGCTGGTACTTATGCATCGAGTTCAAGATGGTCTGCAATAACAACAAATCAGGAAAAGTAAAGATTACTTGCCCTATTTTAACTAACACCCGACCTTTAATTAGCATTAATAGTGTACAGTCAATCAACGACAACAGACTGTTATATTATTAATATACCGAATCCAACAAATTACGTTTTATTTCATTTAAACACGGAGCTCAATTCATAAAGCTAACATATCAAGATAACCATCCAGTTTTGAAGAAAAAAAAAAAAAAGTTATTTTTAGCTGAGTAAAATGAGATTTAAAATGTGCTTTAAAATGTGCTAAATTGTGAATTGAGTCTATTGCATGTAAAATACAATCACTAGAAGTTCTATTTCCTTTTTCCTGTACATAAAATGTATCAATCAACTATCACCTGTTCACTTATATATTATTTTATTAATATTAAATGCCAATATACCCCTGCCTTTATAATTTAGGGGAGTGTACAAATGCATTTCCAGAATAAAGTGATTGTGTGGAATAAATAAACTTCTAAATTGTCATCAAACCAATCGATATGATTAATGTTCAATCAATGGGAATGCATGGCAGCAAACATATCGCAAACGCTTGCTATCCAGGCGTACCATCTCCATCGCACAGGCTGGCATGACCCTTCTTCATAGCATTAATTAAATGCCACAATAAGCTGTCCCTTAAACTAGGCTTTTTCAAGCCAGCTAAATAAAGGCTTTTAAAATCTGGCTGTTGCCTTGATAAAAGTAAAATGTTACTGTTTCCAATTGATAAATGAGCAAGAGGCGTACAGAGCCTATAATGTGAACATATACCTGAGCTTGTACTGAAACATGTGGCAACACTTTTGACATGTTTGGAATTACTCTACAATCACCTTGAAGAACGACCAGTATTGTAAGGGTTTAAAGTTTACTAATCCACACTGATGCAACCGCTGATTCTTGGATTTTAAGCAAAATCTAGAAAGTTCATCAGGGAAATGTATACAGACTTATGGCTGATGAATGGAGCTGAAACCGATCCCCTGATCATGTTTAAAGGGGATTAAAAAAAATAAAAATGTGACCATTTTGTTTAACAAAAATATTAGCACTGGATTTCAATGTACATTTTTAGTGGGAACTTTAAGGCAGAGAGGATGGAATACACATACGACAGTGCACAGGATACAAGCGGTTAATGATAACAATATACATGGTAATGTATGGAGAAAGGAGGAGGAGGTCAAATAGTTCAGTATAATAAGGATGGAAGTATGATCGTACCCTGCCAGAAATTTTGACACAAGCAGGAAGCACAGTCTGCTAGTGAAATTAAAAGGGGGTGTTCTTGTGATAAGCCTGCTGGGCTGGTGAGGACAGGACTGGCCATGTTCCATTAGACCCTGAACACGTCACACAAGGTGGCACAGTTGGTGCATGTGGGGAATATGGGGGGTTAGGGGTAAAGCCCTACTTATTTATGCTGATGGTAGCATAGGGTTAAAAGTGGGCAGGACATTTTTTTTGTCGGGGGACTAAAACTACAAACTAGACAATCCGATTGCTTTTTACATCTGGTGTCAAAGGGTACCCTATGAATAAACAATAGCCCACATAAAGGTAACCTTTTTTGCACATTGCAAGTGCTCGTTTTCATCTAGGGTGTATAATGAATACAGTCCCGCTGCACTGAGAACTGCCTGCCCAACGGACTGACTGTCACATAAAGTCAGCGAATCCTGTTAATTACCATATCAAGGACAACTAATGGGCAACTTTCCTTTTTATCTCCTTAAATGCTTGTCAAAAGGCACAGACAGTGATTGTGCTTAATGTGGGCAGACAAACAAATATTTAGCACAGAGATGCAGGAAGCGTCTAATTTGTCTGAAAGGGGGGAAATACAGAGTACAAAACTGAAAAATAAGCCTTTTTTCTAAACACACAAAATGAAGTACACGTGAAACATTCAATCTTAGGGGGGATACAAATCACTACCCAGCCCTGAACAGAAAGCATAGATTAATCGATGTCACCTTTCTATCACCTTTATTACAGCACTAAAATAGTTGTTTATATTGATATGCTAGGTCTGATTATTTAACCATGTCTGTGTTTACTTAAAACACCCCATCAGAAGCGTATTGGATATTTAAAGTGAATATAAATTGCTCTTTCAACAAATCAGCCCCTATGTTTTATTGTGTACCTGTATTAATTAATAATTCCTTAAAAGAATTACCATTCAATTACTTTTAAAGAATGACCAAGCTACTTCAACTCAAACATCGATAATCCCAGAGACTGAAGGCTACCCATTATACTGCATTATACAGACAGGCCTGTCTCTGTGACCTCAGATCTATTCAGTCTTCCACATCTTTATATTTGCTGCTTCACCTTACTAAGAAATGTACCTCCTAAGTTATTCAGTTCATGAATTTGAAAACAAAATCAGTAGGGCATACTATTGTCAGTGACACGACAATATAAAGACCAGTTATGTATCTTGAAAATAATTTAAAGCTCACCGGTAAAAATTAAACTAAAAAAGGTTAATGTGAGCCAAGTGTCTTCTTTCATCTCATTCATAAGACCTGCCACATAACTAAAACAAACTTGTATTTTGTAGGGAGACACAAAGCAGACCTGGCTACTAAGAGTCTTTTAAAGGGTGCTTAGTTTATTGCATAACAAGCGATACATTAATCAGCTTCTTGCCTAGACATGAATTTACTATGTCATATGTGCACAAATGATGCTAAATTCCAGGTTGGCGTCAATATAAAATAACAAAGAAAATGTGGCTCAATAATAAATGCAAGCAGTAATAATTACTACTAATAGTGTAGCAATTATCATGGATACGATTCAAAGTTTTAGATTTATATATTTACATTTAAGAAAGACTTTAAGAAAATATATGTAACCATATTGGTCTGTTTATAAAGTAATAGCTGTCTGTGTGTTGCGATTTACTGTTACCATGTTACCATCAGTAAAATTGAAGAAAGCCATCAATGCAGTGCAGTGATAACTGTAAACGATACAACATACGAAAAATTGAATCATTGAGGGATCAAAAAAACCCCCCAAAAAAACAAGAATCTACTGCCAGAATTAGTGGATGGCCAGAAAATCTTGTGTGGGTATTTTTATGGATCAACCCCTCAGCCCAAGGGGCCATTCTACATTGTACACTATCCTACTGGTTTGGCATACACAGCCCTTTATGGGAAAAGTTCTGCTATACTCATTACCAGTACACTTTCCCCAGCGTTAGACTGCCTAGGACTACACAGAAAAAACGAAAGCACAATGTTAAAAGGGATACTTACAAAGCCATGTTTGTCTGAGATATTGTTGGTGAGCTTGAGCTTGTGAAAAGCAACAGGTTTAGCCATCCACTGCTCCCCAGTGGCCGGACTGTCAGGGTGGATGTACATACGCTTGGGCATCTCTGGGTCAGCCTTGCCAGCCACCATCCAGCGAGAATTATGGAATTTATACCGACAGTCATCGGCTGCCACTATATCCATTAATAAAATATATTTGGCCTTCTTATCCAAGCCACTCACTCTCACTTTAAACGGAGGGAACATTCTCCTGTAACCAAAAAAAGGTAAACATGCCTTTTAAGACCGAGGAAAAATACAAGCTATTCAGCAACTTGACATGTTTAGGAACATAGATATCATTTAAGTAGAAGAACATCCCTTGAGGTTTTCAAAATCTTACTATTATTCACATTATTAATATTGTAATACATAGGTTATGGGCCTACCTATTCTATAGAATAGCCTAAAGAGTTGATAGAACAATCCCCATTCATAAACAGAGATATATTCACTCTGCTTACTATAACATGTGGTAGTTACTATAGATATTGATTTTATCTTGTGATCAGTATGTGCATGTGGGGCTAAACGGAAACCCAGACTATTTAATAGACTACCACTGAGGTTTACAGAGTACTAATACTGAACATGTGAATATTTGGCCATTTGCTGATTACAGTATGCCATCAAAGCCAAGCAAATTTCAACATGCATCCATATACCTTTTCTCAGTATGCAGCAATGATGAAGGTGACCATATGGATTATTTTTTTATTATTTAGGACGACTATCTTAATACTGGTGCATTTAAAACTGAACGCATATCAACAATACCTTAGTCTAAATGTTTGGATTGGTATTCAAAGGGAAAACTATGTGATATTCCTAATACGTTGGCTGTGCTCTATTTGACACATACTACAGCCCTGCATTATTTTTATGTCAGGTGGCGATATATGTGTGTCTGGTCAAAGCTGATAGTCCTAAATAAATAACTAAGATATGAAAACCTGCTACATACAGTCTTTGTTGTCTATCTGTCTCCAGTATGTTTCCAATATAAACCCAGACCTCTTTGTAACTCTCTTTCTAATAATTAGCCCATTTACTTCGCACTACTTTGTGTTTTTCCTGAAGTACAGTGTAAAACAAAGTTTGTAATCAAAGGCTTAGAACTGGGGGCTGTCATGTAACATCCATATCCCAAAAGTTACATTGTAAATTTAATTTCTGAAAAGGCAACACTAATATGCCACTGTTGGAGATGCAGTATACATGTAACAGTTGAGTGTATCTATTTGTGTAGTGTATCTTTATATAATTTAGTATTTATACAAAGAGGTGAGTGTATCTGTTTGTGTAATGGATCTGATTTCTATAAAAAGAGTTCAATGTATATATTTGTATAGTATAGATTTCTATATATAAGTATATAAACAAATAGCTGAGTGTATCCTTATGTGTAATTTATATTTCTCTATATAAGTATATATCCACAAATAGCTGAGTGTATCCTTATGTGTAATACATATTCCTATATATAAGTGTATATAGCGGAGTGTATCCTTATGTGTAATATACATTTCTATATATAAGTATATATACTGTGTATCCTTATGTGTAATGCATATAAGTATGTATACAAACAGTTGAGTGTATCTACTTGTGCAATATACATTTCTATAAGTATATATACTTTAGGCTCAAGTTCACAAAGCAAACGTACCAGGATAAGGATCCTTATTTACAAAAAAGTGATGGCTATATACTGCGGAGTCCAATGAGATTTAAAAATTGCTGTCACATGGTTAAAATAGAGATCCTTATACTCCTGTTAAAGCTTTGTGAATTGAGCCTAAAAGAGTTGAGTGGATCTATTTGTGTAATATATATTTCTATATATCAGGGTTTGTTCAATGAAGTGCTACACTGACTCTCTAAGGATATACACAAGGGCTCTTTTTGCGGTACCTTCCAGACTTGGTGATGACCATTTCGGTGCCCAGTTTGTGGAACTGGTCCCACAGTTCCTTAGCCTCCAGGTTGACTTTGGGGTCGTCTTCCACCTCCTCATCTGGCTCCAGGGACTTGAGTGAGCGCAGATGAGCTTGGTGGTGGTGTCCCAGCGCCGAGATGTGCAGGCCAGCTTCGGCGGCTCCAGCCAGGCTGGGATCGGTGAGGGGTTTACCCAGAGCAGCCGAGGGCAGCGCCAGAGCCGGGAAGAAGGAGGGCTGAGTCGCAGCTAGGAATGCAGACATGGGGAAATCGGCTGGTCTGGGAGCGTGAAAAGGGTGGTAAGCCATGGCAGTCCCCGAGAAAGCTGGATCTCTCATCGGTGCATCCAAATATCCAGGAGGGAAAAGGAGCGAGGAGACTTGACAACGTGCAGCAGCGGCGGGCGCCGAGGAGCGTTTTGTAGCTCGCAGGGCTGTCAGTGTAAAATGTAACAGTCCCAGTGTAAAAGTTCCAGGCAATGTCAGAAGTGAGCTCACAGCGCTCCCCGAGTCCTGTTCTCTCTCCTTCCCTTACTACTGGAGCTTGCTGGAGACTGGGGGACAAGGAGAAGAAGAAGTGTCAGCCCGGGCGCTCATAGTGTATGCTTAGATCTTGTCGTGATCTCTGGAAAACTGTGACTATCTCACATGTCCTTCCTGCTCTGATCCCCTTGCTAATGAGCCAAGCCCCCTTGATTGCTGATTTTACGCTTTTTGGACCAATTGTGGATCTCCATAGGCGTGGTTTTGACTTGTGACTCTATATTCCGCAGCTCCTCCACTAGGCACATGGCAATCGGTGAACAAAAGCTTGTCCAAGGCGGCTCATGGGAGAGGGACTGGAATGAACTAGGACTTTAGGAGCATGCATGTTAAAATGGATAGAGGTGGGGCCCACCGTCCACCAAGTGCTTGTAGGAAAACTCAGCTGACAGGCACATAACTGGAAGAATGTGCAGGGGGAACTGCAAGAAGACTTGCTTTGAAGGCTCTGGGGCATCACCGCTTTAAATGCAAGCCCCCCCCTGAGTCCAGTTAGGAGAAGAGCATTCGCCACATGGGAAGCAGGCACAAGTCAATGGATATCCACAAAAATAAGACAAAACTTGGGTGAGTGATGGACTTGAATTCTGTCATACATGTATATGATTTTTTTTTTTAACTGTAGAGGGATTAGTGAATGATATGATTTACAAATACACAGGAGGGAACAGGGGGACTGTTCCTTTAATGACATATGTGCATGTCATCAGTCATAAGGCAGCAGCAGCAGCACAAGTCTGGAGAGTGTCTCTGCTCCAGATGAGGGTGAAAAGGACAGGCTTTCCAGCTCCCCCAGAGCCTGGGAAGGGATTCACAGCACAAAGATGATGTCTTAGCACAGGGCTGAGTGACACACTTTAGGGGGAAATAATTACAAGTTCCTATTTAGCTCAACAAAGGAGGACTTGTGTGTCCAGCTATCTGCGCAGAGACCACAGAAGGGAAGGAGGGGGGGTCATCAATAAACCTAAGTAAATTATGAGCATCGGGTCTCTATGAAAGTCTAAAGAGAGATCTAGCTCTGCCTATAGAAGCTCTGGCTGTGTACACATTTACTTCTTTGTATTCTTTTCCTGCGCTTTAGTTTGTCCTTTGCCTTTTGAAAGCTGTCACGATTCACACGGAATGGTGATGTGTCTCTTTAAGATGGCCATTTATAGATCTGTTCTGATTAACTGGGGTTCAGTTTGTTAAAGAGCCGCTTGGCGCCAGTCTGCTGACGTCTTACAATAAGAACCGTCTCTTGTCACTTCATATTTACCCAAAAAATCTTCAAACAGCGCCCTCCAAATGCTGCACTCTGGAGCACAAGGGAAAAAAATGGATGTCAGGCGATTTTCTTTTTTTTTTTCAAATGATCACAGCCCTACCCTGTCTGATCTGCTCCTGAGCTCATTACATGACCCCAGAGTACAATGCTACAGCAATCCTAAACCACTGATTAATGGTGTCACAGCCAACACTGTACCTGAGGATACATACATTTCTATAGGTGGCTTCTATCTTTTCCAGTGGTCACGTGGGGATGTGCCATCTTCGCCTAGCTGGACCACTGTGCAGAAGGTCAGCAGGTTAGTAAGCAGCCCTGGCATACTTTGGGTTAATGGTATGCGTGTATGTGTGTGAGTGTTTAACACATTTAAAAAAAAAAAAGCCTCTCTGGAATTCTGTTTCATGTGTGTGTGTATGGTCAGTGGAGTGAAATCTCATTTCCAAAGAATCCAAATGCTGGATCCAAGCGACCATCTGTCCAGCAAACATGCAATGATAGCATAATCTAGTTAAGATGACAACACACGATCGCCTTGATTGAGCACTACTTAATATCTTGTCATTTTCTCCTCTAAATGAATTATTTGATAATGTAAACCTGTCCCTCCTGTCACGTAAGGGGCAGATAAGGCAGTGTCTGGCACTCTCAGACTTTTTAGGGACAGCATATGGGGAGGGTGTCACTGGAGAGATAGGCATCAGCTCTGTTAGACAAGGGTGTCATCCCATGTCTCTCCTTGGACCTGTCCTTACTTTTCCCCAGCTCGCAGTCACTGCATGCGGCGCCACCAGAGAATTAGACCAAAGCTATAAGTGTAATCAAGGCCACTTTACAACATGGCATTGTGTATCTGCTGCTGCTGCCGGGGCCTTCTTGTTCTTATCAAGAATCACTCTGTATCAGCTGCTGGAGAATTAACCTAACCGGGTCACTATTCATCCCCCAATAGTAGAATAATAAACCCCCATACTGTCCATGTTGTTTGGTGTTTTGTTGGCTTTATTAAAAATAGAGGATATATATATAGATCTATTAGTATTATAACATAGAGCTGTCTTTGAACTCTCCACTCATATTCTGTAGGTTACTGTACCAATCAACAGTGTCATATACCAGTCAAAATAGTGCATACCTTAGCATATGCATATATGTATATTGTTTTTATAGTTTCTGTCTCTAGATCTCATTATAAAAATCAACAGATGTGTGTGTTATAACAAGTATAATATTTTGAATTTTAACAAGCATAACATCCCTGCACACATATATTTCATATACAACGCCCTGCAATTAATTATAATGCTAACCTCTAACAAGCAATACCAATGCAGCTATCATTTGGATAGTGGTTTGGGGGAACAAATATAATACCTGGCTGCTGGTTGCATCTTATTGATACATTTCAGAATGCATATTGGTCAGGACATAATAATAGGATAATAATAAAGTCTAATAGGAAATGTAAAAATGTAACCATTTCAAACACTGTAGACACTGTAAAAACAAGGAGATCATTTCTTGAAGTATTCATTTTTACCTTACCCTGTGTTACCTTCAAACCTCCAGTTTCACCTATAAGAAAATCTATACACATTACCAAAAACTGACTGAGCATTTGAAGATAACACATCATAGTATTGTGAATGACTTCCTTTAGTGAATAAGTCCCCATACTGTACACACATATGAACAGAATGATATAATCTGCTTTATTACAAATTATAAAACATACTATGATACATCATAATAATACCATAATCGACTATTCTCTTAGGCCCAATACATGCCAACATTAAAAAATACAAATATGCTTTTATGTATTGCTGGGTGTAAACTAAAGTAAAAGTAAAATGAAACTCTGGATAGGTTTACCTGTCTATTATAACAGCAAGGTAAGGAAATGTATTTCCTTGGGTAACTGTATCAAGAGTTCCACCATTCTCGGTACATTTTCAGAAGGATAATATACCAAAGGTATCATTTATACACTGGATAAAGAAACCGGGCCTATCACAATATATTTTGTATTGCCATTCTGGCTGAAGGTGTCGTGCTAATACAGCAATGTAAGACTACAGTAAGCAAATACAACCTTAGGGCGTTGTGGAATTTTGGCACGCTTACCTATGACTATCTATCTATCTATCTATCTATCTATCTATCTATCTATCTATCTATCTATCGTATATATATAGAGAGAGAGAGAGAGGTGTGTGTGTGTGTGTGTGTGTGTGTGTGTGTGTACATGCTGTATATATATTTAGACTGTGTGAGAGAAGATGTATTCATGTATTGAGCTCGGCAGAAAGTCTCTTTGAAGTTATACATTTGCTATTTTTTAGTTCCCTGGTCCAGAGACGCAGCTCTTCCAATAAAATAAAGTTTAGCTAAACATCCTAACTTGCACACAAATTAAAAAGAGTTGTCCCTCGGATGTTCTTTTTTCTTCCTCATTTTGCTTTCATCTTTGCCCATCTCTTCTCATCATCCGCTTGCTATTTTTAGACTGTAGACTTAGACCTTGGCGCCAGGCCGTTTAAGACCTGTCAAAGTCCTTCATATTTCCCCCATGTCACATGGACCTTTCCTTCTCTCCCCTTGCATGCACAGGCAGTAATTTGGATCTGTGAGTTTGTGAGCAAACGCAATTTGCTCTTCTCCATTGCTGTGTTGTCACTGTGACCTCAGTCAGCAGGGCTGCTGGTGTCCTGTCCTGTCCACTTAGACAAATTGCAAGTGATTGATGAAAAATAACAATTCTCACAAGAAGCCAAGCCCTCCCCTGCATTCTCCTCCCTCTCCAAGCTTGGGACCTGGTCCATATACTCTATAGGAAATGAATGGAAATCTCACAAATAGCAGCCCCAAACACTTTCAGTCCTCACTGGCAGGGGCACAGATGCTCTCTGCTGGGTTAAACCAGCGTATTTACATAATTCCCTTGTATCAGACCCATCAATAAAGCCCCACGATTAGCAAATTGAAACATACGAAGGAAGAAAAAAAATAGGCTAAGAGCATTCCAAGTTCCTGTTGGATGGTAAGGAGCCCTGTTGGGGATCATGTCACTTTTTGATCAATTCCCAAGGCTTGGGTTGTACATGTAATTTGGGATTGTAGATGACACAATCCTTATTGGCATTTTAATAAAGTCAGATCTGGGTGAATAAAGCCAGCTTATTGCAGTGAGTACAAAACCAGGCTGGAGTTGATTAGACTGCATCCATCTTTGTAAGAGCAAAACATATGACCTGTTTGCCTACAGACCGAGCTCTGCCATCATAGCAACGTGGACAAGCAGAACTTGTCTTTGTTCCCTAATTTATCACAGGGGATCGGTACTTTAGTTTTATTTTGTAGAATAAAGGATGCATTAGGCTCCAGTCAATTTACTAAATTACTGATCTATATAGATGTGCTGTGGAAACATATCACGTTGTCTATTTAAAGAAACAGTCTAAATAAATCATTTGAATCTAGCCCAGGCAATTCGTTTTGGCTTCAAAACATCTACATCCGATTTTTATTTTATTTCCCTGAGCCGGAGTAGGTGTTTAAAACAAAAGCTTCATAGGCCAGCCTAAAATTCACTCCTTATAGCAAAGCCATAGTACTATAGTATGTACAAACGTCCAGCTGTTATTAAAACATACCTGCAAGTCTTATTTATGA